CTAAGGGCAAAAACAATAAAACAGACCCCCTTTTAGTTCAATCGGCTCTACCTTCAATCAATATCATACTCTACTTTTTGGTGTTTTTTTTTTTTTTTTTTTTTTTTTGGTTTTTAGTTAGATAGTTAGATAGTTAGTTAGTTAGTTTATTTGTTTGGTTGTTTGGTTATTTGTTTGTTTGTTTGTTTGTTTGTTTGTTTGTTTGTTTGTTTGTTGGTTTGTTTGTTTGTTAAGTTCTCTTACGTTTCCCGTATAGTTCACGGGCTCTCAAAAAGTCCCTGTATATTTTCACTCAACTCGCGAAATTCCTCGCGCGAACGATTACAAAATCTTTTTTCTTTTCTGTCGTTTCTACGCGCCCGTAGAAATCGTTCCTTCCTCCCCCTCTTCTACCTTCCTTCCTTCCTTCCTTGCTTTTTTCTTTCTTTCATTCTTTTTTACAATTAAAAATACGCACGTAATCTCTTTTTATAAACGTAAAAAATATTTGCGTATATATACACACACATACACACCCACATATATATATATATATATGAATATTTATATATATGCAAATAAATGTTATGTATATATAGACTGACGGACAAAAAGAAAAATAGATGGCGTACAGTTCTCTCAGAGGCTTTTATTATTTTTCTTTGTTTTCCTTTTTTTTTTTCTTTTTCTTTTTTTTTCTCGTTTTCATAAGCGGCGAGTAGAAACGCCTTGAAAAGCGTGCCTCGGATAAAAAGAAAATCAAAGGGAAAAAAGGAAAGAAAAAAAAAAGGAGAGGGAGAGGGAGAGAGAGAGAGAGAGAAAGAGAAAGAGAAGAGAATAAATATACATATCTATATATTTATATATATATATATATATATATATATATATATATATGTATGTATGTATATCTATATACATATATATATATATATATATATATATATATACTCTGTGCCCATACGAGTTCGCATGGCATAATCGTGTATACGATACTGTATACAAAAGAAAAAAATAAATAAACATAAATAAAAAATCAATTTTTGAACATATCCTTCGTCAGATTCGTTCAGTGTATAAATACATATATACATACATATATTCATATATATATATATATATATATATATATATATATATATATATTTATATATATATGTATTATATCTATCGGTTCAGGAACGATTCCAGGCTTTTCTGTTTCTTTTTTCTTTATTTCTTTTTACCATCTCTTATTTTTTGATTTCTACGTGATCCGCCATAACCAAAATCATCCCCTTGCGTTTTATATATATATATGCAAAAAAAAAAGAAAAAAAAAAAAGAAAAAAACGGGTTAGGCGGTCATAAGGGAACGCCAATGACGTAGATATCCCGAGTAGTACTTGGAATCTCGTATCGGCGGATTAACCCATTGGATTCGATATTAATTAGAAGGATAGAGAAAAAAAACCTTTCACCTTCTTTCTTTCTTTTTTTCTCCCCCCTTGCCTTCTCCTCTTTCTCCTCTTTTTCCTCCTCCTCCTCTTCCTCCTCCTCCTTTTTCTCCTCTTCTATCTCCACCTCTTCTACCTTCTCTTCCTCCTCCTTCTCCTCCTCTTCTACCACCACCTCTTCCAACTCCTCCTCCTCATCCTCCTCCTCCTCCTCCTTCTATTTCCATCACATAGAGAATACCGCGCCACAAAATCGCGTGACGATGAAAAATTAGTCGAGTGTTCCGTTCTATTTGCTATTCCAAAAGCACGATCGACGAACTGATTTACAACGAGAGTCGAAGGTTAAAGAAAAAAAAAAAAAAAAAAAAAGAAAAAAGTGTTGGCCTCATCGTCATATCGTCATATCGTCATCATAGTCGTAATCGTAGTCGTAGTCGTAGTCGTAATCGTAATCGTAATCGTAATCGTAATCGTCGTAATATTTCTCGATCGACGTTAACTCGTCAATGAAGGATATAATTTCATTTTACTTTTTTCTTCTTCCTCCTCCTTTTTTTCTTTTTTCTTTTCTTCTTTTTCTTCCTTTTCTTCTTCCTCCTCCTTCTCCTCCTCCTCCTCCTCTTTTTCTTCTTCTTCTTCTTCTTCTTCTTCTTACCACTTAATATTACGAATATTATTAATACCGAGATCACGTCAATAAATGAATTTCGTCGTACGATTTAATTAATAATCGAAATTAAAAGTACGAGATTTATATGATTTGTTTTTTTTCCTTTTATTTTTCTCCTTTCCTTCTTCCTCATCTTCTTCCACCTCCTCCTCCTCCTCCTCCTCCTCCTCCTCCTCCTCCTTTTCCTTCTGCTCTTCTCCTTGCATCCCGTTTTTCTTTTTTTTTTTTTTTTTTTACCAAACGACGAGATCGCTCGATGAACTTGAGAGAGAAGAAGAAAGATAGGAGGAAGAAAAAGGGGGCGGGGAGTGGTGGTGGTGGTGGTGGGGGAAAAAAGAAAGAATAAAAAAAAAGTAGAAAAAAAAAAGAAATTCAATCCAAGGATTGATAATACGTTTGAAATAGACATCGCTATAATCGATGATACATATGGTACATAATATTTAGTATAATTAACGACGATTTGTTAATCATATTTGATATAAATCTTATCGATGATTTTCCACAATAAACAAATTATAGATCATCCGTGATAATACAACTAATGCGGGATCGGAGAAGTTCGTAACAATTGCGGAACGGAAATACGACTCCTGTATATAATGTCTAACGGTATCTATTACCTACTATATAATATATATATATATATATATATATATATATATATATATATATTTCCCAAAGGCTAATGTTCGTAGAGATGTGAGATAGATAACGCGTTCGTAGTTCCTTTCACGTCGACTTTAGCCTAATTTCAACAGTTCGTAGGGCAAAATTAAAAGGGAAAGACGTCTGTCTGCTTGTTCTAATTTCACGATTTCGCCGTATGACAATGAGCGCGCCCATTAATTCGACGACGAATATTTCCCGATTCCTTCGTACGATTTTCTTTTTTTTTTCTTTTTTCTTTTTTTTTTCGTTTTTATCTTTTTCGTCTGTTTTCTTTTTTTTTTCTCTCTTTTCTTTTTCCTATTTCTTTTTTTTTTCTTTCTCTTTTTTTTTTTTAACTTCTTCTTTCCTCTTTCATTTCATCTGTCGACATTCAAACTCATGAGAAAAATAATACATAATGTAAGTGGGTAAGTAAATACTCACTTATTTACTTACTTACTTACTTACTTACTTACCTACTCACTTACTTACTTAAGTAGGTCGTAGATAGACGTCAATCAAAAGTTTGATGCCGACAGAATTTTCTTTTTTCTTTCTTTCTTTCTTTCTTTCTTTTTTCTTTTTTTTTTCCTTCTCCTTCGTCTACTTCTCTTTTCTTTACTTTTCTTTCTTTTGATATTTTGTTTGATTGAACGTGACAGAGTAGGAAGGGGAACGTGGAAATTGAGTTTATACGTTTATCTAATCAAAACGCGTTCTCGTTTAAACGTTCTAATGTCTTCCGTTGACCTTGAAATAAATTAATTTGCAATTATCGTCGAAATGTCGAAATGTCCCGACGAGTATCTATTTATTTTTTTTTTTTTTCTTTTTCGTCGTTTCTCTCCTTTGTTACTTTATCTTTTTCTACTTAATAAAAAAAAAAAAATTACTAGAATATGAATGAAAATGCATAGAAAGGGGAAAAAACGATGAAACCCTTAAACAGTTTTAGGACAAACGGATAGACAGACGGAGGAAAAGAGAGAGAGAGAGAGAGAGAGAGAGAGAGAGAGAGAGAGAGAGCGAGAGAGAGAGAGAGAGAGAGAGAGAGAGAGAAAGGGAAACGGAACAAGCCAGTAGAAAACTCTCTCTCAACCTTTTTGAAATATTTACGAAATATAAACGGACGGTAAAGGTCGAGAGAGTATAAGACCTTTGCCTTTCATATCGCATTTGGCACGCTGCCTAATGCTTTATAAAACGATCTTCTTTCTACTTTTACGTCATTTCTCATAAACCACTGTTACGTACGTACGTACGTATGCATGTAAATATGTAAATATGTATGCATGTATGTGTTTATGTATGTACATTTCTCGTTGAGCCTATTTCCACGGTTGTGTTTCATTTCACCTATGGGATTTTGCAAGATTCTTCCAAGGGACGAAATGATACACACACAAATATATATATATATATATATATATATATATATATATATATTGTTGTATTTTATTGTATGTATGTATGTTATTTTTTTTGTATATATATATATATATATATATATATATATATATATATATATATATATGTCAATGTATGCGTTTTATTGTACGTACGTAAGTATGTATCTGTGTATCGTAAATTTGTGCATAAATAAAATATATCGGGCACACGTTCGGACTATATTAGATAAACAAAGTTTTACAAATATAATGCATGTTCTCGTCCGTTCTATACTTTCTTTTTTTTTGCTTCCTTTTTCCTATTTTTTTTCTTTTTTTTTTCTTTTTTCCTTTTGTTCATCGTTTCTTTTTATTTTCTCCCCTTTTTCTTACTTCATCTATCTCCATTATATAGATACATATATATATATAATAAAATATATTTACGCTAACGAGACACGATTTTGTTTTTTTACAGATTTGTTTTACTGATTTCTCTCTTTTAAATCGATCGACAAGAAAAGGGATATTTTCCTTTTCTCATTATTAATTTCGATTAATCCAAAATTTCGTAGATCTGTAACTTAGAGAAAGAGAGAAAGAGAGAAAGAGAGAAAGAGAGAGAGAGAGAGAGAGAGAGAAAATAATTATTTTATAAACCTTAAGATCCAAAGACGAGATTAGAGATTATATTCCAAGAAGCAATCACTATGATCGATGGATATTTTACGAGAGAAAAAAAGAAGAAGAAGAAGAAGAAGAGAAAAAAGAAGAAGAAGAAGAGGAAGAAAGAAAAATCGAAAGGAAACGATTAAATATCGTCAAAAGAGGAAACAAAAATGATAATGGAAACGAGCGAGATATAAAATAAAA